GGGGGGGGTTGTTCTGAGGAAATGGTGGAGATCAGAAGGTGGAGGAGGAGTCCATCGCCTGGCAGATCTGGGCGAACACATCATCCGGCGACCGCTCGGCATCAATCTGCAGACGGAGACAAACAGGCTGAGGCCGGGTTCTTTCAAAAACAATCAACGTCCTCGCATGAGGCCGAGGACGACAGTGTGCTGCACACACACACACACACACACACACACTCTCACACTCTCTCTCTCTCTCTGAGCCCTGATGTGGCATTTAAACGTTCAAACAGCTCATTTCAAAGAGAAAGTCACCACCCAACAGAAACTGCGTGATTATCTTCTGACCCTCGTGTCGGAACAGAGAACGGAGAATGAATGCACAGTGTGTTTACCTCAGTTTAATCTATAGCAACACATCCTAGATGTGAATGAGCAGAATCGTTTCGAGTTTTTGGTTTGCGTCGACTATCTGCTTTCAAACTGATCTGCAGACAGCTGTTATTAGAGATCAGCCAAAATGTCGCCTGGACCTAAAAAACACCAACAAAAACAATCCCTGTTTGGGTTTAGTGTGGAGAAACATTCGAGTCGGACTGCAAACGGAATACAGTGAACGAAAGACGGAGCAGGTCTTGGCCCAGAAGCCTTAGAGGCAAATTCATTCAAGGCAGAATAGTATCTGGTGTGAAGATGAAGCTGTTTTAAAACAGGAATCATGTGTTCAGATTAACATTTAACTTTTATTTCTGAGGAAATTATTCATGGATCTTGGTGCAAAAACAAATCCGGCCCACCGTTCAGGGACAGGGGACTGATCTCCTGTCTTCTGTTTTTGACTGAGTGCTGTTCTAGTTCTCGTATTTTTAGTTGGTTAGGAATGACAGGAAAAATCTGAACACATAAATCGAACCCCTGACCATGTGCACATAAACCTCCGTGTGATCTCTCTCTCATGTTACCGTGTGCAGGAGCTTCTTGTGTTGGTAGTGGTCAGCCACTTCCTGGCTGTGGTCGCAGAAGCTCTTGGCCGTCCGGTGCGTGGCGTCGTCTCTGTCTGAGCCGGGGTGGAGGCCGGAGCTGGATGTGCCGCGGCACCGCGCACGACTGGACATGGTGTCAGGAGAACAGCTGAGCAGGAGAACGGCACTGGGTTCACCCATCTGACACAGAGGAGGAGAAACTAAAGTCAGTTCAAGCAAAGAAATTCCAGGCTGAATAACTTTTTTTTGTGTTTTATCGGCCTGTCCTGTCAGTGCGGCCTTTGACCTTTGCTTCGTACTCCTCCGCCTGTCTCAGGTCTCTGGGAAAACTGCTGATCACGAGGCCTTTCCCCTGCCGCTGCTGTCCTGACGACGCCACCGCGTCACACAGCAGCTCCAGCAGAGTGTCCTGGAGATCGAGTACACACAAAACACACACACACACACACACAAGAAGCCTTCGTTGCAGTTAATACTGGAGTTACTGTTCATGTTTCTCGTTGGAAAATCAATCAAACAACTACGAGAGACAGAAAACAAAGAGTAACAACTTCAAACAGACGCTCGATGAGAAGAAAGAGGCGCAGAACGTTTTTAAATAGATGCAGTCGACATTTGCACGATTACTGTTTTTCTGAGGTGGATTCAGCCTCTCTCATATATAATAATTCTAATATAATCATTTGCATCTATAACTGCCGTCTTCAGAAGCTAAAGGCTGTTGTTGCGTTCAGTCGACACACCCAATATTCAGCTGAGCATCAGAAACATAACTCACAGCAGCTTCCTGTTATTAGTTTCCTGTTATTCATATTGAAATCGCTGCTATCGCCCTTCACAGATGTTTATCTAACATGACATGTCCGGAGCATTACTGGGTGTGGATCAGTTCACTGGATGGTGGAAAAAAGCAGTAAAGCTGCAGAATGCCTGAGAGTTTTGCAGAGGGGATGTATGGAGCCGTATCCAGACATTCTCCTCAACCGTTCCTGCGAGGCCCCAAAAAACATCAGACTGAGCCCATGTGAGAATACATCAGGACGATGGACACAGACACTGAAGGAAACATTAGCCTCGACCTTATCCAAAGCTACGGATCTATTTGTGATGGACTCTACAAAAACCTGGACTCAACCCTCAGACTGAACCTGGGCTGCCGAGGCTGCACCACATCACGTGCAGCTCACACACACACACACACACACACACAGTAAAGAAAGCCCCATTAGATATTAAACGTGTTGTTTGGCCTCTGCACAGACAGACGAGCTGAGACTCCTCGTCTGCATCGTGACACAAACGCCACACGCTCTGTTTCTTACATGCATGTTCTTCTCCGTGTGCAGACATGCTAACAGCACACATGCGGCCGAACGGGAGGCCGGCGGTCTGCACTTTCTGTGTTGCCAGGCAACTGAACAGCAACATTTCACTGAGTCCAACTTTCAGCGAGTGGATTTGATGTCTTCACACTCACCCGCGAGGTGCATGTACCAGCATTTGATTTCATGATGAAACCCTCAACCCTGATGTGGGTGTTTCACTTTATTACAGCAGCTTATTTTAATGTGTCCTGTTGTAAACCTGGTGAGGTGCACTTCAGTAATCCCAGCGTGGGATTACTCATCGTGCTTTAAATCACTCTCTCTCTCTCTCTCTCT